GGCAACTTTAATAAAAATAATTAAAATAATTACAACTTTACAAAAAGAGAGAAGTTGCCGATCTTGCCCCTATACCCGGGGCAACTTCGTCAATTTCTCTCTTCTTGTAAAGTTGTAATTATTTTAATTATTTTTATTTCCAAACTGATTTTAACCAGTTCTATAGTAAGGTAACATTCCAATAGACAATATGCAAAGCTTTTTTTTAAGTTTACAGCAGTATTTATTACACAAAATTTAAGTAAAGCTTAACATGCCGATCTTGCCCCGGTCTCCCCTAAATAATAGTTCTAAATATTAGATTTCAACTAATAATTTAAAAAGTTTTTAAAGCAGAATATTTTAAAGTTTGTAGAATTATAATTACAAAAAATTAATAAATAATAGATAATAGTAGTAAAATTAATAACTATTTGCAAAATACCGTCTTATTCGTATGTATAAATTTACGTATAATAAACAAACAAACGCACATACACACACGCACACAGATTATATTAATTAATATTATTTAGGTAGATATGTGTATGTTTGTGGTTGTGTTCAATTAAAAGCTTTTCAAATTATATTTACTAAACAATCAATAGTACGATTCAGAATCTGTACTATCGGTTACTATGTTTTATCGAACAAAACAAAAAAATCTCCTACTACACGTGCATGATTTTCTCTGTGTTCAATTCAGCTGTTAAACCTTGACAGTGATGTCCAGTAATGTTACAGAAGACGTCGGGGCTGTAACTTCAGATGATGCAACTTGGATTTTAACAGCAGCATTTGTTATTTTTACAATGCAAACTGGTAAGTTTGATCTTGTATTAATTTTAACGTCAATACAAAATAGCATATAGTAATACCTCGAACTTACGCGATAGGTGGGACCGAGCGATAACCGCGTAAGTCGGGCTATAATTTCTCAATTTGTGTAAAATCCAAATCGGATGTATGTAAGCTAATAAATGTTCTCGTTAATCTTATCTCGTCTTTTGATTCGTTCACGGTTACAAGAAATCACCACATAGAGTCTCTCGAGTCTCCGTATATATAACAAACACAGAAATAAATAACACAAAATAAATTGTAGCTATGTGTCGATTCCGCGCGACACGCCCGAACATGTAAGCCGAACAATAGTGTGGGGGAATGAGTAATCAAGAGATGCGTGGCGCTCAAACAAAAGACGAATCGACGAGATTTGAAAATCGCGTAACTCCGGGTTCGCGTAAGTCGGGGTAGCGTAAATCGAAGTATTACTGTATTAAAAATAAATAACATCGAAAATAATGAAAGTATGTACAATTTTTATTTATAATTTAGTTATAAATAATTAATTTTTTCGTGTAAAAATTAATATAAATTAACGGAAAAAAAATTAATTTTTTTGCAGATATTAAAATAAGTTTAATTAATACTTCTCAACACATTTTTAATTATAAATTGTTTAAATATTCTGATTATTTTCAAAAATAAAAGTATATACAAGTTTTATTTATAATTTTTATTGATTTTTTTTCAATAAAATGTTATAATGTTCTTATTTTGCTTAGTTTTTAATTTAAATTTGAGCTGATTTTATAGTTTAATCATATTACAAACGTTTATTTATTATAAAAATGTTAAATAATATTAATTTTTTACAGGTTTTGGTTTATTGGAATCTGGAGCCGTCTCAAAAAAGAACGAAGTGAATATTCTATCAAAAAATGCAGTAGACGTTATTCTTGGAGGTTTGTCTTATTGGGTTTTCGGTTATGGTTTGCAATATGGTAAAGAACCTGGCACAACGATTTTCTGTGGTGTCGGCTACTTTTTACTGGATTCATCGCCAGATGAAATGGGTATTATTTTTGCAACTTTTATTTTCCAGTTATCTTTTGCAACCACAGCTACTACTATAGTATCGGGTGCAATGGCCGAAAGAGCAAATTTCAACGCTTATTGTATATTTTCTTTTGTCAATACCGTTGTCTACTGCATACCAGCTGGTTGGATTTGGGGAGATCATGGATATTTGAAACATTTGGGTGCATTAGACTTTGCGGGTTCTTCAGCAGTGCATTTAGTTGGTGGTGCTTCTGCTTTAGTTGCATGTTTGCTCTTAAAACCCCGATTACGAAAGATTGAAGCTATGGGAGCTTCTTTACCGATGGGAAATTCTGGTAACGCAGTTGTAGGAACTTTCACTTTATGGTAAGTAACAATTCGATACTTATTTATATAAATTAAAAATAAAATACATCGTTTCCAATTAAGGTGGGGTTGGTTAATGTTTAACTGCGGAAGCACTTTTGGAATTTCAAATAATAAATGGCATTATGCAGGAAGGTAAAAAAAGAAATGATTAATTTTTGCAATATTGAAAAACATTTAAATAAATTTAAAAGAAGTATTTTTTTTTCTTAATTTAAGAGCTGCTATTAACACTATGAATGCATCATTAGGAGGAGGAATCGCTGCCATTTTCTATACGTAAGTAACTTAATCTATATTTCGTTTGGAAACGAAAAAAGCGTGGTGCATTTAGTGACATAAACAACACATTCTTTTTATTATATTTGAAACTTTTTGTAGAATATTTAATAAAATTTTAGATATTGGAAAAATAAGCAATACAACGTCAGTGATATTTTGAACGGTATCCTTGCTGCTCTCGTGGGAGTAACAGGTAGTTATTTTATAAATCTCTGAATAGAAATTAATAATTTATAATAAATTACTTATGTATTAAAACATTATAATTTTAGCTGGGTCAGCTTTTTTGGGATCTGCTTCTTCAGTATTAGTAGGAGCAGTTGGAGCAATTTTATCTTGTTATACAACTCCAATGTTTGAAAAATTTGATATAGACGATCCTGTAAGTGCAATCGCTGTGCATGGAGTAGGTGGAATTTGGGGTATGGCTGCAGTAGGTTTATTCATAGAAGATGATCCCATATTAGAGTTATCAAATGGACGAAAAGGACTTTTCCAAGGTGGAGGATTTTATTTGCTTGGAGTTCAATTATTAACTTGTTTATGTGTTATTATATGGAGTATGAGTACTACCTACATATTTTTGACTGTAAGTATATGTGAGATATAAACGAGAATATCGATGTATTTCAATTAAAAATAGCTAGAAATGATAAATTACAAAAATTAATGATAATCTATATAAGTATTTTTCAACCTGTGGGTCGCGACCCCCAGGGAGGTCGCAAAGCTGTACACGGGGGGTCGCGAGTGAAAGAAAAAGACAAGTGTTTGTAGGTCCTACACTACAATAAAAAAACCACAATTTCAGTGAGAAGGCTGTGCCTGTTTATTTTACAGTACATTTGGTTTTTTGATCGATATTTAAATCTCAACAGAAAGAAAATTAAATACGTAGTTTTTAAAATCACTGACATAGTTTTAATATGGCCGTGGGGGGTCGCCAGAATTTTTTAACTTGTAAAGGAGTCGCGTATTCAAGAAGGTTGAAAAACACTGATTTATATATTCGTATTGAGGGCCGTCAAAGGGAGAAAGCTGGGAATTTTTCCCTGCAGCCTGGAAAAACTTCAGTTCATAGTGTATCCTATTCCCATAAATTAGAGTCATGTTTTAATAACGAAAACTAAAATCTTTAAGTCTGATTTTTATTAATAAAAAAATTACGTACTTCGTTTGTTAAAAAAAAACTGGGAAGAAAAGAATCAATAATTTTCCTCTTCACTCACGAGTTTCAAACAAGGCACTCAACTGCCTTATTTGTATTATATAAGTTTCCTCTAAATTTAATTTTGATAATTATTAGATTATAATTTAATCAATATTATATTCTAAAAATAATTAATAATATTTAGAATAATAAAAACCTTTTTATTCAGGCTATTAATAAAATTATACCCATAAGAATGGAACCTGGAGAAGAAATACTTGGTGCAGATTTTGTGGAACATGACATTCGCCACGATGGCTATGATTACGAATTAATGATAAATCAATTGAAACTAAAAGGCCAGTTCCACGAAGTAACTTTCAAGCACAGACTTTCTCGATCGCAGTGGGATACTTATTTAATTGATCGGTATCTTCCAAATGGACCAAAAAATTTGAAGTTAAAATATATAGCTTGGATTGATAGACCTTCTTCCAAAGCTTCAGATAGATTCTTACTTAATGGAAATAGAAGAGGAGTAGCTTGTATCGTTTCTTAAACAGATTAATATTTCATAAAATGAAAAATATGCAATAAGTTCTGAATTTGTATATAGATAATTGTTTTAAAACAAATTAATCGTGTATAGTAAATACATTATAGATTTATATAATAAAAATTATTTAAATAATATTTTTCCTTTTATTTTAATTTTTCACATAAAAATTTATTATTGTATGTAGATTACGACAAATTAGTGAAAAGAATCAGAATGTTTATTTTTGTTTTAATAAATCAAATAACTAAATTATACAAATTATAAAAATTGATTAAATAATTAATAAAAAAAACGAAAGAATTAAAATAATAAAAATTTTTGACACATGTTGACAGTAACTATGCGTTATAAAATAAATAATAATAACAGTAAATCTAAAATCAAAATGGGCAAAACCATTCTTATGTCAATATTATTTCAACCGATTAAAATCACGCGAGTTATAAAATTACGCGAGTTTTTTTTTTGTTTTCGATTTTTATTATCAGATCGTAGATACTCGTCTTCTTCAAGGACCGTCCAGATGTTTTCTATGCTACTATAGAATTGTCTATTGAATGAACCAATAAATGACAACTGGTCGATTTGAATTGTGATTCTTCTCGACGAATCTTTGATTATCTTCTATGCTAAATAAATATGTCCGACAGCACCGACGGAGCAGTTTCTTCCATAGGAAAGACGAAAATATCATGGGACGATGCTACATGGATTCTGACTAGTTCTTTTATTATACTTACTATGCAATCAGGTGAGAACATGTCTTGATATTTTTCGAATTGTTAGCTTATTGTAGTTTAAATAGTATCGTAAAAGAATTTATTGAAATTAACCACAGGCCTATCGCCAGTAATAAGCCAATGATATCTATTGCAGTAAGAAAATTTAATCCAATCGTAATTTCGTTTACTTTTTAGATAATATTTAAAAATTTGGCTGAAGTTAGTCAGAATAATTGTGTGTATAGTATTTGATAAAACGTGTATTATAAACTCGAGTCTATTAAAGTTCTGATGATACGAAAGATTCAAATTTAAAAAATTTTTATTAATTGTAATTTTAATNTAGATAATAGTAGTAAAATTAATAACTATTTGCAAAATACCGTCTTATTCGTATGTATAAATTTACGTATAATAAACAAACAAACGCACATACACACACGCACACAGATTATATTAATTAATATTATTTAGGTAGATATGTGTATGTTTGTGGTTGTGTTCAATTAAAAGCTTTTCAAATTATATTTACTAAACAATCAATAGTACGATTCAGAATCTGTACTATCGGTTACTATGTTTTATCGAACAAAACAAAAAAATCTCCTACTACACGTGCATGATTTTCTCTGTGTTCAATTCAGCTGTTAAACCTTGACAGTGATGTCCAGTAATGTTACAGAAGACGTCGGGGCTGTAACTTCAGATGATGCAACTTGGATTTTAACAGCAGCATTTGTTATTTTTACAATGCAAACTGGTAAGTTTGATCTTGTATTAATTTTAACGTCAATACAAAATAGCATATAGTAATACCTCGAACTTACGCGATAGGTGGGACCGAGCGATAACCGCGTAAGTCGGGCTATAATTTCTCAATTTGTGTAAAATCCAAATCGGATGTATGTAAGCTAATAAATGTTCTCGTTAATCTTATCTCGTCTTTTGATTCGTTCACGGTTACAAGAAATCACCACATAGAGTCTCTCGAGTCTCCGTATATATAACAAACACAGAAATAAATAACACAAAATAAATTGTAGCTATGTGTCGATTCCGCGCGACACGCCCGAACATGTAAGCCGAACAATAGTGTGGGGGAATGAGTAATCAAGAGATGCGTGGCGCTCAAACAAAAGACGAATCGACGAGATTTGAAAATCGCGTAACTCCGGGTTCGCGTAAGTCGGGGTAGCGTAAATCGAAGTATTACTGTATTAAAAATAAATAACATCGAAAATAATGAAAGTATGTACAATTTTTATTTATAATTTAGTTATAAATAATTAATTTTTTCGTGTAAAAATTAATATAAATTAACGGAAAAAAAATTAATTTTTTTGCAGATATTAAAATAAGTTTAATTAATACTTCTCAACACATTTTTAATTATAAATTGTTTAAATATTCTGATTATTTTCAAAAATAAAAGTATATACAAGTTTTATTTATAATTTTTATTGATTTTTTTTCAATAAAATGTTATAATGTTCTTATTTTGCTTAGTTTTTAATTTAAATTTGAGCTGATTTTATAGTTTAATCATATTACAAACGTTTATTTATTATAAAAATGTTAAATAATATTAATTTTTTACAGGTTTTGGTTTATTGGAATCTGGAGCCGTCTCAAAAAAGAACGAAGTGAATATTCTATCAAAAAATGCAGTAGACGTTATTCTTGGAGGTTTGTCTTATTGGGTTTTCGGTTATGGTTTGCAATATGGTAAAGAACCTGGCACAACGATTTTCTGTGGTGTCGGCTACTTTTTACTGGATTCATCGCCAGATGAAATGGGTATTATTTTTGCAACTTTTATTTTCCAGTTATCTTTTGCAACCACAGCTACTACTATAGTATCGGGTGCAATGGCCGAAAGAGCAAATTTCAACGCTTATTGTATATTTTCTTTTGTCAATACCGTTGTCTACTGCATACCAGCTGGTTGGATTTGGGGAGATCATGGATATTTGAAACATTTGGGTGCATTAGACTTTGCGGGTTCTTCAGCAGTGCATTTAGTTGGTGGTGCTTCTGCTTTAGTTGCATGTTTGCTCTTAAAACCCCGATTACGAAAGATTGAAGCTATGGGAGCTTCTTTACCGATGGGAAATTCTGGTAACGCAGTTGTAGGAACTTTCACTTTATGGTAAGTAACAATTCGATACTTATTTATATAAATTAAAAATAAAATACATCGTTTCCAATTAAGGTGGGGTTGGTTAATGTTTAACTGCGGAAGCACTTTTGGAATTTCAAATAATAAATGGCATTATGCAGGAAGGTAAAAAAAGAAATGATTAATTTTTGCAATATTGAAAAACATTTAAATAAATTTAAAAGAAGTATTTTTTTTTCTTAATTTAAGAGCTGCTATTAACACTATGAATGCATCATTAGGAGGAGGAATCGCTGCCATTTTCTATACGTAAGTAACTTAATCTATATTTCGTTTGGAAACGAAAAAAGCGTGGTGCATTTAGTGACATAAACAACACATTCTTTTTATTATATTTGAAACTTTTTGTAGAATATTTAACAAAATTTTAGATATTGGAAAAATAAGCAATACAACGTCAGTGATATTTTGAACGGTATCCTTGCTGCTCTCGTGGGAGTAACAGGTAGTTATTTTATAAATCTCTGAATAGAAATTAATAATTTATAATAAATTACTTATGTATTAAAACATTATAATTTTAGCTGGGTCAGCTTTTTTGGGATCTGCTTCTTCAGTATTAGTAGGAGCAGTTGGAGCAATTTTATCTTGTTATACAACTCCAATGTTTGAAAAATTTGATATAGACGATCCTGTAAGTGCAATCGCTGTGCATGGAGTAGGTGGAATTTGGGGTATGGCTGCAGTAGGTTTATTCATAGAAGATGATCCCATATTAGAGTTATCAAATGGACGAAAAGGACTTTTCCAAGGTGGAGGATTTTATTTGCTTGGAGTTCAATTATTAACTTGTTTATGTGTTATTATATGGAGTATGAGTACTACCTACATATTTTTGACTGTAAGTATATGTGAGATATAAACGAGAATATCGATGTATTTCAATTAAAAATAGCTAGAAATGATAAATTACAAAAATTAATGATAATCTATATAAGTATTTTTCAACCTGTGGGTCGCGACCCCCAGGGAGGTCGCAAAGCTGTACACGGGGGGTCGCGAGTGAAAGAAAAAGACAAGTGTTTGTAGGTCCTACACTACAATAAAAAAACCACAATTTCAGTGAGAAGGCTGTGCCTGTTTATTTTACAGTACATTTGGTTTTTTGATCGATATTTAAATCTCAACAGAAAGAAAATTAAATACGTAGTTTTTAAAATCACTGACATAGTTTTAATATGGCCGTGGGGGGTCGCCAGAATTTTTTAACTTGTAAAGGAGTCGCGTATTCAAGAAGGTTGAAAAACACTGATTTATATATTCGTATTGAGGGCCGTCAAAGGGAGAAAGCTGGGAATTTTTCCCTGCAGCCTGGAAAAACTTCAGTTCATAGTGTATCCTATTCCCATAAATTAGAGTCATGTTTTAATAACGAAAACTAAAATCTTTAAGTCTGATTTTTATTAATAAAAAAATTACGTACTTCGTTTGTTAAAAAAAAACTGGGAAGAAAAGAATCAATAATTTTCCTCTTCACTCACGAGTTTCAAACAAGGCACTCAACTGCCTTATTTGTATTATATAAGTTTCCTCTAAATTTAATTTTGATAATTATTAGATTATAATTTAATCAATATTATATTCTAAAAATAATTAATAATATTTAGAATAATAAAAACCTTTTTATTCAGGCTATTAATAAAATTATACCCATAAGAATGGAACCTGGAGAAGAAATACTTGGTGCAGATTTTGTGGAACATGACATTCGCCACGATGGCTATGATTACGAATTAATGATAAATCAATTGAAACTAAAAGGCCAGTTCCACGAAGTAACTTTCAAGCACAGACTTTCTCGATCGCAGTGGGATACTTATTTAATTGATCGGTATCTTCCAAATGGACCAAAAAATTTGAAGTTAAAATATATAGCTTGGATTGATAGACCTTCTTCCAAAGCTTCAGATAGATTCTTACTTAATGGAAATAGAAGAGGAGTAGCTTGTATCGTTTCTTAAACAGATTAATATTTCATAAAATGAAAAATATGCAATAAGTTCTGAATTTGTATATAGATAATTGTTTTAAAACAAATTAATCGTGTATAGTAAATACATTATAGATTTATATAATAAAAATTATTTAAATAATATTTTTCCTTTTATTTTAATTTTTCACATAAAAATTTATTATTGTATGTAGATTACGACAAATTAGTGAAAAGAATCAGAATGTTTATTTTTGTTTTAATAAATCAAATAACTAAATTATACAAATTATAAAAATTGATTAAATAATTAATAAAAAAAACGAAAGAATTAAAATAATAAAAATTTTTGACACATGTTGACAGTAACTATGCGTTATAAAATAAATAATAATAACAGTAAATCTAAAATCAAAATGGGCAAAACCATTCTTATGTCAATATTATTTCAACCGATTAAAATCACGCGAGTTATAAAATTACGCGAGTTTTTTTTTTGTTTTCGATTTTTATTATCAGATCGTAGATACTCGTCTTCTTCAAGGACCGTCCAGATGTTTTCTATGCTACTATAGAATTGTCTATTGAATGAACCAATAAATGACAACTGGTCGATTTGAATTGTGATTCTTCTCGACGAATCTTTGATTATCTTCTATGCTAAATAAATATGTCCGACAGCACCGACGGAGCAGTTTCTTCCATAGGAAAGACGAAAATATCATGGGACGATGCTACATGGATTCTGACTAGTTCTTTTATTATACTTACTATGCAATCAGGTGAGAACATGTCTTGATATTTTTCGAATTGTTAGCTTATTGTAGTTTAAATAGTATCGTAAAAGAATTTATTGAAATTAACCACAGGCCTATCGCCAGTAATAAGCCAATGATATCTATTGCAGTAAGAAAATTTAATCCAATCGTAATTTCGTTTACTTTTTAGATAATATTTAAAAATTTGGCTGAAGTTAGTCAGAATAATTGTGTGTATAGTATTTGATAAAACGTGTATTATAAACTCGAGTCTATTAAAGTTCTGATGATACGAAAGATTCAAATTTAAAAAATTTTTATTAATTGTAATTTTAATAAATAAGTATTATTTATCAATTTCATTCGTAATAAAAATAGCATTTAATCAATTGAAATACTTTTAAGCATGTAATTTAATCAATTGAAATACTTTTAAGCATGTAATTTAATCAATTTGGACTAATTTTATCGGCGTTTGTTTTCATATTAATATAATTTATAAAAATATTCTTACAATAAAACGCGGGCTTTAATTTTAATTTAAAATAATCTTTTATAGAAAATAATAGTAAGAATTTCAAAACATTTTGATTTATTGTTACACATTTAAAAAATTTTTTTTCTTATTCGAATGTTTACAAACCAAGATTTTAATATGCTTAATGTATCTAAAAACGAATGACAATACAAATATCGATTTAAACTTTTTAAAATGTTTAATTTTTTAGCGCTTAGAATATATGTTTGCTACAAAAATAATCGATATTTTTAAATAATACAATTTTTAATTAAATATCTTATATATGTTATTCTATTTTATTCTTTTATTTTATTATTAATGAACATCTCTTTAAAACGGACAATATTTTCGGACTTGTAAGTGTTCGTTACAGATAGGTTTTTACTAATGTAATATAGGTTATATATATAGGCCTACATTTAATTTTTATTTTTTTGAAAAGTTTAAGATATATAATAACTAGACTATAAGTTTTTCAATATTGTAATAACCCCTGTAACAAGTCTTGCCTTTAATACTAATAAAGAATTTATAACAATAACTATAAGTTTTATATAAGAACTTATTAGAACTTCTTTATACAATGACAATAATTTTTTTGAAGACCAAACATATTGAAAACTTCTTATAATTATAATTGTCTCGAAAATTTTTATTAATTTTCTGTCTTAAAATTTAAAAATAAAGGCTAAATAATTAATATTTACTGATGTTTTTATAGTATAATATAAAATATCAGTAAATTTATGTTTTAGATTACTGTATTGTTATTTTTTCAATACAAGTCAATTTTGAAAGGAACTTATTTACTAGATCTGTCAAATAGATCTTTTATTAATATTACATAATTAAGTTTTCTTTTTCAGGTTTTTCACTTTTAGAATCAGGATGTGTAACAAGAAAAAACGAAGTAAACATTATGATGAAAAATGTTGTAGATGTACTCTTCGGAGGAATTGCATATTGGATGTTTGGTTACGGTTTAAGTTTTGGAGAAGAAAGAGGAGCTAATCCTTTGTTTGGCGTTGGATTTTATTTCGTCGAAGCCAGTCAATTTCAAATGGGTTACGTATTTGCCGAATTTCTTTTTCAATTATCTTTTGCTACAACAGCAACAACTATTTGTTCTGGAGCCATGGCTGAAAGATGTAATCTTACCTCTTATTGTATATTTAGTTTTTTCAATATTGTAATTTTTTGTCTTCCGGCTCATTGGATCTGGAGCCGTTTAGGATTCCTAAGTCAAATGAAAGTTGTAGATATTGCTGGGTGTTCGGCAGTCCATTTAGTAGGAGGAATATCGGGTTTGGTAGCTACATTGATGTTAAAGCCTCGATTAGGAAGATATGAAGTTGAAGATGAAACAGTGGCTATGAATTGTCCTACCAATGCTATTGTTGGAATGTTTATGTTATGGTAACGACGTGATATTTTAGATAATGACTTCAAAAAATTAATTTATGAGCTAAATATATTACTTTAATTTGATTAGGTGGGGTTGGCTGGGTTTTAATTGTGGAAGCAGTTTTGGAATTTCAGGAAATAAGTGGAAGTATACAGCAAGGTAAGTACATTTTATATATTTAAAGGTTTTAAAATTAACTACTTTAAGAATTTTATTTGCGATATCAATTTATTTGGAAATTCGATTATATGCTATTCTCTATATGATAAAAGCTATAAATGTTATACTGTAAAGATATTGAATAAGTTTGATTCAATTTTGAATATTTATACGACCACTTTAAATTTATATAGTTTAATATATCAGGAACTGTTTTGTTTTATCATGATAAAATTAAAATTTGGTAGAAATAAAATTCTTTTAATACGTTTAATATTTTCTAACACATATATTCAGATTGTGTTAATAATTTACAGACAAAAATCGTATTATAGTTTCATTTTTTAGAATTGTTGCTAACATAATCAATTAGTTACTATAATTTCTCGCATAAATTTAAAAATCATAATTAAGCTGATATATTTCTTCTGCAAAGATCGGCGATAATAACAATCATTTCTTCCATTGGCGGTGGAATAACTTCACTTATCTTCAGGTAAAATATGTTTATAAAGAATTACAGTTAAACTTATTTCAATACTAAAATAAAACAATTCTATAAAATATTTTATAGCTATGCGTTCAAAAAACGAAAATTCATAATTATCAATATTATTAATGGGATTTTATCATCTCTTGTTTCTATTACAGGTAAGCATTTTCTAAATGTAACATTTTTTCAAATGTTTATAAATTCAAAAATTTTCTTTTTAATTTATAAATCTCAACATTAGTCACCCATATAATATTACAAAAATGATTTACATTTCAGCTGGATGTGCTATTTATCATCCTTTCGAAGCGTTAATTATTGGAGCTATTAGTTCTCTAATGACGAATATTAGTATGCCTCTTCTCGATCGTTTCCGCATCGATGATCCTGTTGGAGCAATCAGTGTCCATGTTATTGGTTCTATCTGGGGAATGATTTCTATTGGATTGTTTGTCGAAGAAGATTTGTTGCTGAAACTGAGTCAAGGACAGTCTGGACTTTTTCGTGGTGGAGGATTTCGACTGTTAGGAGTTCAAGTGCTTGCTGTTGTTATTATAGGAATTTGGAGTGCAGTAACAACTTTTCTGTTACTTTTTGTAAGTGATAGCTTCAAATCTTAATTGATTAATATTAATTACTAAATTTTCATTTAGTATATATAAATATTTAAATATGAAAGTAACAAAATTATTTTAATTACTCTAAACAGAGTTTATTTTTATTTTTTAACACTTTTTATACACTAAATTTATAATATTTTTCTTGTAAATGCATTAAAACTTTAGTAACTGCATTATAGTAACTAAAAATTTTCTTATAAATTAGGTAATAAATAAATTTGTGCCAATAAGAATGTCCAAAGAAGAGGAATTAGCTGGTTCAGATTTTGTAGAACATGGCATCACTTTTGAACTGGAAGATACCCAATCTGTTATCGGTAGTTTAGTTAATCTTTTGGAACCAAGTGAAAATCCATCAAAATTTTTAACGGCAAAAATGTTTTTCCAAGATTCAAAATTTAAAAAACAAAAAAATAAAATAAAAAATGGATTTAGAGCAATTCGACTTTTCCGTAAAAACTAATTTCTTTATATATTCTCATATTAGCCTATAATTAATTAATTAATTAATTAACGATACTCAAACTGATAATTCTCGTGCTTAAACCATTAGTCTATATAAAAAATAAATATAAATAAAAATTCAAATAAAAGTTTAAAAAAAAGATAATTTCATGGGGCAATTTTCTAAATATGTCTTATGGAAATATGCCAAATACACCTAAATTTATAAACTGTTCATATTACAAGTTAATGAAATTTTTAAATTTTTATGAAGAAACTAATTTTAATTACGTTACGATTGATTCTATTATAAAATGTCATTAAGAGATAAATGTGTAAATTTCAATAATTCTGATGAATATGATTTTTTTTATATGATCAAAAGCTGTGAATAAGAAAACAAGATCAATTTTTCTTTTACGTCTGTGTATTGATTACTTCGAGTAGACATATGGTTCACACAATAGGATTTTTATCTTGTTAGTATATATATACTAACAAGAAATCGTTTGTTTATTAGTAATATTATTTTAAAATAACAATTTATCATCTTAAAATAAGTATGAAATTTTCATTAGAATATGTAAATCTATAAGTTTTATTACAAAATTATTTATTTCTTTTAAATTTTTAATTATTATATTATAAAAATAAAGTTATAACTGTAAGCATTTCATCGATTTATTAGTTAAACTTTAACTCAGATTTGGATCTAATTCATACAGTCTTGTTAAATTCGTATAAAAAGTTGTATGTTTAAATATGGAATATTGTCGGATTAATTGTTCTTGTTTCTATCGATAAACTAGACGAATGGTAAACAGTAAAATTTGTTTTATATTACGTTTATAAAAATCTAACAATTATATATTGTACTTTTTATGTAATTTATGACTTATATTTACAATTTATGATATAGCCCATTTTTATTTACAATGCGTGATGTCATTTTCCGTATTATCAATAAGACTAAACAAGATTTAACATCTTTGCATTTGTTAAGTTATACTTTATTTTATCTAACTAGAGTGTTCTATATTAACGATAGACTTATTTATCTGTTGAATAACTACATGAATATGTTGAAGAGTTGAATGAGGTAAAATGACTCAACCTACAGTTTATAGACTACTAATGAAGAACTAATGAAGACTAGTAATGAATTAAAATTATAATAATGTACTTTTATATTCAATTATTTCATTTTGTAAAGGAAAATAAAGCTTACTGTTCGTATATTTAAACAGAAAACAGACTCTTGAACAGAAATTTCATTACGTATTTGGATAGGATAAATGAAGGCGAATAATGAAAAAGTTCCGGAAGCTGTGATTGTAAAAATAAACTTTATTTTAAAAAAACTGAATAAACCGGTGTTTTATTATCATACCAAACAACATAATAACAACAAAAATAATAGTGTTTTCCAAAAAACAGATTCGAGAAACGAAATACAATTTTATGCTAATTTACCTTAGAGTTAGTTGGGAAACAGTATATTGATAAGCCCTCTCCCAGAGTCTACTCTGTTATTTTTGATCGATGTCAAGTTAGACTCATTATTCAAGCTTCTGTAGTATTATATACAGGAAACAAAAATCATCCGCTAATTTTAAGATTTTCGAAGCTACAGTAAACATAAACTTACATAAAATATTCTGCAAGTCAGAAACAGAAACATTTGATTTTTTTACTTATTTTTACAGAAATTGCGCGAGAACAGTACACGTAAGTTGAGTATAAAAAACATTGATGCTATTAAATTTTGGTGGTTAAAGGTTGAGAGGGTGAGAAGATAGGAGTCATGTGTCATGTCTCGAGTAGGTCGGTCTTAATGATGTTACTCGTTATTAGCATTTACGATTTTTTTTTTTTTATAAAACTTTTCTCTATCCTCAAAATTAAGCTTTTAGCCGTTTTTTAATAATTAATAATATAAAAAGTTTTAAAATTAAAATATCATAAGAGATGGCTCTACATGTCAATACAATTTTAAGTTTTTTGCCGGGGAAAGTTACGCAACTCATTGCTGGATTTTTTATTAAGTTATAAAATGATTTAGTAGCATTATTTAGTATTTAGATCTAAGGTCCTCAAAGATATGTTGCTGTTGGAGCCCACCACGTGCTTGATCTGCCCTAATTTTAGTAAAAACTGTCAGTTTTTGGCGTCCGTTGTGATCTAAAATCGCGATTTTCTCGAAAAAAGCACGAAAGTGTAATCTAGCAACAGATACATTTTAGTGCCGCAAAATAACCATGCGAAAGTTTATCGAAATCTTTGAAATATATTTTTGAGCCTCTCCTTGTTAGTGCCCAAAGCGTAGAAATAATTTTTAAAAAATACAGTAATTAAATAAACGAATTTTCATATTTTCAGACACTTCATATGATAAAATTTTAGAATCATAATTAGTATTTCCTAGAATAAGAATGGAGTGGATGTGTTGTATCTTGAATGTATATCACACCGCCGTCGTAGCTAAGCAACGAAATTTCTTCGAAAAGTGATGTTTGAATTTTCGAAGTAAATAGATTATAACAGTTTAAACATAAAATACAATTTTCTAGTATTTATTATATATATATATATATATATATATATATTATGTTTTACTTCGTAATGAACACGAACTAATTTCCTTAGTATGTGTAGACTGATATTCCATACTTTGACTCCATTCTTATTCTGGGAAAGACTATAGAACAGTCAAACTCTAGAAAGAATTATTCTACTTAAATATTTATCTTTTTTAATGCATATTCTGATTAATCTCGTTTATTTACATTTTATATTGTTATTACTATTTCTGTTAAAATGTATGTTTATATAATAAGTACTCCAAATACTATCAATACTTTGAATTTTTAATATTACATATAATTTTCTTTCATAATGTTATCGAAGAATATATATTTTAAAAAATAAAAGTAAAATAAAAATCTGATTTTAAACTTGAATATAGTTTTAGAGGAATTTTTTGAGGAAATGATATTTACATTTTTTCTAGAAATATCTTTATAATAATAATAATCGTTTTTCTGGTGTTTAGGAATGTGGTCAGTTTTTTCTTCGTAGTATTCAGAAGGCTGCTTGACGGGAAAGTCTTTCTCTACATTATCTTGCTTGTTTGCTTCAATTTTAGGATTTAAATTTTTTGTCACTGTTCCGGTTTTACTGTTTACTTCCTTTATTTCCTGTTCGGTTGATGATTCATGCTGAATATCTAAAACTTTCTTTTCTATTTCCATGTAGCGTTTTTCTGCAGCTTTTAAAATAGTAATAACATTTGCCCAAAATATTTCAAAAGAAAATTCTATATCTTTCCAATCTTTTGGAGGCGGCTTAAATCTAGTATCTCTTCCATCATCGTACCAATATAACTTTGTTTCTGCCCCATAATATTTGTGATTGCAAGAACATTCCAATTTATAATTATGTCTGTCGCAGTTTATCAGTTTACAAAATATTAACCAACATTTGCCAACAAATCTCTGACAATGATCACCTTCTATATTTTCCATACAGTTACACGTACCATTGTTACATTCTCCGCCGATGCAAAATGTCCATGTCGATATATCATTAATGTTATAGTTCGAAAAATCGATTCTACGAAACTTACAATCGAATTTAATATAGAATCGCTTGATCAATGAATAAACCTGCAAGAATCTGTTAGGCGAAAAGGCAATATTGAATTGCTTGTCAGGAAGCCTATTTTCCGTCTTATCGCAGTCTAAATGTTTAACTATAGTGTGAACAACAGAACGCTCACTTAGATCGTGTCTTCCAGACGAAGTTGATATACATAAAATCAAAATACATAACGTTAAGAAACTACCATTACTTGCTCTCATGAAGGTACTCAAAATAACATTTCTAGCCGCCATTATTAAATTCGTAATAAATTTCTTAACTCCTTTAATTATGCATTGTTATTGTTTAAATGCAACAATCATATCATCATTCTTAATTGATATAGATAGTATATTATAACTATATTAAATCCTATCAGTACCAATACAAAATCTATTTATTAAAAAATACAGTACTTATATTACAGGGAATAACGTTTCTATTTTACGTCCAATCTGTTCTCGTGTATTGGAAAATTTATGAAATTTATGTGTGGTATTCGAATAATTTGACCCAGAAAAACTTCCTATTTAGTAATTATAAGATATATTGCCATGGTATTTCAGTGTAGATAAATGGTGTTTGTTACATATGAAAAAATTTATTTTTGATCTTAATATGTGTTGGGATGATTGAAGTTTACTTAGCACATATTTGTAAATAAAAAGAATACACCTGTATAAACAAAAAGCACTAATAGAAAATTATCACACTGTCATCTAACCCAAAACCCAAAAGATGGATGAGATGGTCATACCAATCAATATCAATTGGAATTGGTATATAAGCAATTGATACCCAATAGATTGGTATCAATAAAAATAATTTAAATTAGGGTTGAACCTGGTTTCGTGGAAGCTCTAACTCTGTTTCAAGCTTTACACATCTTTTGAGTGTTCTCCTTGAATGTCACATCCAAAGCAGATAAGGTCAAATGAGTTATTTGTCCACTTATTTGTCCACTGTGGAGAATCCATGTGCGACGTTTATCATCTTATGGCCTTCCACGGATAAATAAACTGTACACAATTAATTTAACTGTGAAGTAATTTAACTGTTTATAAAGCACACAAAATGAAAAAAAAAACCAGTGATGTCTCCTAAAAAATACCTGTAAACATTACAGATACAGGAACTGCCGTCAAGCAAGCGTAGATCAATCGTTTTAAAATTATTACCGTTTTATCTTAGATATACACGGATTACATTAAGTATGAAACGTTCATTCAATGCAGGGCTATGGAGTCAGAGTCGAGTCGTGGAGTTTTGATATTTTAGTCAGAGTCAGAGTCGTCAAAAAATCCGCCGACCCGACTCCTTTTTACTTCCCAACTTGTTATGTATATAAAACGGAAAATCTACACGTTTGGAGACATCCCGAACCCGAAAAAAAAAAAAAAAAGTCAGTTAAAGGGGAAAATTCACGCGCATGTGTGTGTTGGCGTCTAATTTGTTTAATTTCATTATTCTCTGTTCTGAGATATTAAACAATATCTCAGAATGGTTAAAGTTTAAGAAACGAAATTTGTCACTGTAGCTTGTATATAAAGGGGTATTAATGCTATTAAATTTTGGTTATTAATCAAAGGTCGACATAGAAGGGATAGTAAAAGAGATATTAAAAGTCAACATACAAGTGGAGATATAGAAGGGGTATTGTGTCATATCTCCAGTGCGGTCGAACTTAATGAATATTTTACTCGTTATTAGCGTTCACAGTTTTTTTTTTAAATAAAACTTGTCTCTACCCTCAAAATTAAGCATTTTGTCAATTTATAATAATACAGTAAAACTCATTAAGATGTTCTCGCCCAAAATGTCAGAATGTGATTGGGGGCACGATTTAGTTCAACCATTTTGAAGCTTAAATTAATAACTCCTGTGTTAAACCATCCGACTCCAATTTAAAAACCACAGAAGTTATTAGGCTTCAAACAGGTTGAACAAAATCGTCCCCCCACACAGTCTAACATCCATACATAAAAAAAAACCCGAATATTTTGCATATCTCGACATTTCAAGGTGTCCTGAGTCCAAAAATGTAAAAATTTGGGAGGGGTCATTTTTTGACCCCTCCCAAATTTTTTGACCGGTCTAGCCATCGGTCAAAAAATGACCCCTCCCAAATTTTCCCTCTGTTATATATAATAGCCGAAAAAGTAAAAATTGTCGAATACGTATTTATATATTAATTGTGTCCTTACTTAGAGGAGTCTTTTAGCTTTGGAATAAAAAGTTTCTACGTTCTATCTTTATTAGAACTCTATTTATTAAATCTTTTATTCTGAGGTCACGTGATAACATCAGAATTGTGGGTCTATTTTGGTAACAAGTTCGCCCCTGGTCGTAGTCGGAGTTGGTAGATTTTTACACGACTCTGATTCAATTACTAGGTTTTACATTTGTAATTATTTCAAATTATTTCAAATTATATTGATTCAATTACTAGGTTTTACATTTGTAATTATTTCGCTATAGAAAGTCGTGATATCGGAGACTTCAAGTAATCGTTCCGACATGAAAAGCTGTGATAGTGGTGTCAAGAATTTTTATTATATGCAGTTTGGTATCGGTGCAAATGTCTTTTTAATAAAACAATATTTCGGTTTTCAAACGTACACTTGGCGGTGCGTTCATTACAGATTAATTATTCCAAAGGATTTTGAAGGAATTATTATCACATTATTTATGCTTTAAAGAAATAGTAAAAGGAATTATAATTTGTAATAATTTATCTATTGATTTTAATTAGGGAATTATGCTTTTGATCGAATTAATTTTTTGTTTAATTAGAAAAAAATTCTGTATTCAACTGGCAACACTCAAAACTTCGATCGTGATGCAAAATTCAAGTGCTGGTAGGGATGGAGTTTGTTGTCTCTAGATAATAATTGAGTTATTCAGATTAATTTGTTTAATTAAAATGCCTCAATCTCCTTTTCTTACTAAAATATAAATTTTCGTCTACGAGTACGTATCTTCTAATATCAGGACTTATACTGGCTTTACAGATAATGCTACAGAGTTTCACAGAAAACAATTTTTCATTTTATTTAATATACCTGTTTATTTGTAATAATCTGTATTATTATTTACTGCAAACAACTTTTAAGAAAACGGTTGCTGTATTATCATTGTCTAATAATACGCATTTCACTGTACTTCTGTAATTATACATATACAATACACAATGTATTAAAAGTTATTTGGGTGGGTATTTGTTACCACGAGATTGACCAAACGATATTTATTTGTAGCAATTAACACATTGATCTGGATGATGTTTCTAGCTGTATATATGGTTACACTTTAGGTAATATGTAGTAGTAAAATAGTCGTTTTTTTCTAATGGTAGATGTGACATATTGTTGTTTAATTTTTGGATGTTGTATTCTCTCTGGGATTGGCAGATTTTTCTGTAAAACATTTTCTGTGAAGAGGTACTGTACAATTGTGTCTGCAAGGTGTATAATTCTAGTATTATCTTCATCCATGATTTAGTTAAAGGAATAAATACAGATTTCTAAACAGTTAGCTTTTAGAAAGCTGACAACTTACTTAAGAGGCTACTTCCTTCTTCCAACATTTTTTTTTTATAGCTGTATTAGATTTTACAACCTATGTTTACATTTAAAAAAATTTTTGTCATTGTCTAGAGAAGAGGCAGAGAAAGTTATTGAGTTTAATTTATTCAAAATTCCATCTTTAGATAAATTATTTAGGACATTTAAAACTTTTTTATAATTTTCTATTTTAGTTTAAAGATGGAATAATAATTCTGAAAATATAAATATAACAAGTTATTTTAATAATGCATTTTTTCCTGTGAAATATATTTAGAAATTTGATTATTATAAATCATCTAATTTATTCCAGTGTTCTACTTTTATTTTTAATAAGATTTTTGAAGATCTTTTATATTTCAATGAATGTGAGATGTGGAAAATAATAACATTGAATACAATGTTATTTATGAACTAGTAGTTATCACTTGTAATTCTGACATATTAATCTTCCTAACAATGAAATTCTTTTCATGAGTGTCCTTGATGATAAATAGTATAGTTCAAAAGTGCTTGGAAATATTTTATTTGAATTTTATCTCCATTACAGCAGTTTTGATTTTGTTTTAAGTGGAGTTACTTTTTTTCATTACACTGTTGTCTAACATGATTTTCTATTAATATTTACTCAAATATCTTATGGATATCCAAATGATCTATTTCAAACATTTGTTTTTACTTACTGATTCAAACTTAATTCAAATTATTCATGTTTTTTAAGAACTTTATCTTATTTCTACATTATCAAATAATCATCAAAGTATCTATTCGTAAATAGCATATCATCTTTAAACACGTATCAATCAGGATTTCAATTTGTTGCATCAGTAAGTGCCTAGTCTTTGAAAAGATATCCTTATTATTGGGCCATAACAGAAAACTAGGGTCCATTGCAAAATGTTTTGGAGGGGCCCTTTCACTTGGAGATCCAAAGACTACACAGGTCTGCAAAAAAAATTTTTTTTCCAGCTGCATGGAATATTTTTGCTGAATTATATGTTTTAAAGATCACGGATTCTTAAAAACTTCTATTACATCCCATCATGTAAAGGATTTTGCAAAATAAAAACAAATTTTTGATAAAACACTTATTTATTACAATGAACTAAATATATTATATTTTCTTACAACTAATCAACAATAGTATGTAAAGGTTCGTTTTTGGGTGGAAGGCAAATGAGATATATAGTCATAGGGAGCACAAGTAATCTCTTCCACTTCATTAAAAAGTCCAGCTTCGCTCTAGCCTTAGTAAGGCTGATGATGATTTTGCAATAATAATTAGTCGGCATCACCCAATATTATAAAAACTAATCAACAAATTGTTTCTGATATTTATACACAATTTTAGGTCTACTCTTTTTTCTTATGAAACCTTTCTTTCTTCTTTTTGATGTTTCTCCAAACTCGTTTCCAATTTCCTTCTCTGGTTTCTCGATTGAACATCTAACACTAGTCACCTAACATATTGACATCCCATTTTCCTTGGTAACATCTCTCAATATCACAGACATCCTGTTCTTCACTGTGGGCTCCCAAGTTTTCAGGAAAATAGTCAATATGGGAGTGTAAGAAATGAACTTTTAAGCTCATCTTGCATCCTTGAGCTTCATACGCTGCTGCCAGCATTGCATTGTACTGTACAATGGTTTTGTAGTCAGGGTCCTTAGTATTTCCCAAAAACTTATGCACTACATTCTTGAAAGAGTCCCATGCTTCTTTTTCCTTTACTCCCATTGTTTCCAAAAATCTGCTTTGTCTTGATCTCCAAGTTTCAATTTGAAATACACAAATTAAACGTTATTCACAAACTCACTTATGTTTCTTTGTTGACTTTTCACTGTGTATTCACCACAAACATAACAGAAGCTGTTGGGAGAAATTACACAACCTCTGTGAGTCATATTCCAGAAATAAAAATACAAGCACAGTAGCGTTCGAATGCTGGATTTAAACTGAGTGTGGCATTAGATGGCCAGAGAGATACTGAACTTATTTAGCTTGTTGAAACACGATATAATCCAACAGCGGGTTGTTTATATTTATTCCTGGTATCCCAGATAACATATCAAAACATGCTCAACCTCACCAATAATATTACTCACTATCCACTTTTCACCTGTTTCCATACGACCATGTGACCATCCTCTTAATGCTAAAACTACTTAACCCACCTCCCCCTACCACTACTCTCTTCAACCATTAACATTTTTATTTATTACCAAGTCCAGCTATAACTGATAGAATTAATGTGAGAAGTCTTCGTTTTAAGGCCATTTTTTAAATAAAAAGAAAGAATACTAAATTTTAAGTTAACTAGGAATTTTACACTAAATACAAACGAAAACTTGAGTGTAACAAAAAAATTTGATGAGATGGAATTTTTTTGGTATTTTTTTTCATTTTTACCAAGTTGAAATCTGTAAGAAAATGTATAACAATCCTATGCAGTTTTTTACTTGCAGACCTGTGCTATCTTTAACATACAAAGACACAAAAATGCAACCTGAAATAGTTTTTAATAGAGTCCACTTATATATATTACTAAATATAATTTTGTTTTACTTTTTTTTTTTATTTTTAACTAGCTGTTTTGCCAACCATGTTTAGAATTTTAATTATTTCTATCTGCAAAACGTAAATAGGGCTCACAGTATGCAAAAGTTAGTTTGGGAGAATAGCAGAGCTATTTTCTTTCTATTTCTTGTCTCATGTTTGTTTTAGACTAATAACATACAAAGAACATTTGATATCAGAGTTTATGAAAAAAGGACTTTGCACTAGCACATACCAGTGACCTGGTTCTGCAATATTTTTCAGGTGAAAAATAAAGACTATTTTTCTGATTACTTCTCTTAAATTTGCAGAACCAGATCACTGGTATAATAAGTCCTGTTAATAAAATAAGTCCTAGTAGACATCTTACATAATAAACAGTATAATAAGGACACAGGCATATGAATTAGTGCTACTCAAGTTATCTGATAAAATGTATAGGCAGTATTTTTTCAATGTGCTAGTAACAAATATATGAATTATGTTATCATCTTATTTATGTAAGAAATAAGCTATGTGAATAATATAATTATGTGATATCTTTATTGATGCTTTTAAGAAATAAAGTAATAAAATCTAACTCTGTACTTTATAAAAAAATTTTTGTATAAAACATGAAATTGCTACAAAATACCAGAAATTAAACTAATATTACAAAGAAAGAAAACATATTCCAAACAACAAATTTGGATGAGATAACAATATAGTGTAACAAAAATATTTCATGATAGAAAGGACAAGAATAGTGACAGTAGTAATAGCATCAATGCATGCTTACACATCTCATGCAAAAAATTCTTTGGAACTTAATTTGGACTTTTTAAAAAATAATGATCAAACAAACAAGTGGGTCTATTTAAATTTTTATCCTTTTTAAAATTCCATCCAGAGAGAGATGGTTAAAAATTTGAAGATAAAATACAGTTTTGTTAAAAATGACTAATGATATGACATTAAAAAACATACTTAATACATTTGATGCCAATCTTGTAGGATCAAACACAAATGACACACATTACTAAAAGTTTTCACAATATCACTCAGGTCACTGTTGTATAACACCATCTTAATTTGGACTGATGAACAGACCACTACTTTGAATGGCATTTTGTCACAGATAGAATTTCTTTTTTCTTTGTCTGTGTCCTTCATGTCTCTTTCTAATATATGTAAAGATAATTTATAAATACATAAATTTATATTTTTTCTCTTTTTGCCATTGGGTGGTTCCACGTATTCATTATTTGCCAAATGCTTGCTTAGCATTTGGCCAATACCAATTAGTGGATGGTTTACTAGTGACAAATATTTGGTGTTTATCATTTCCCAGTCGTTATTGGTAAATTGTGCTGAATCAAAGGGGACAAATATTTACCTCCATGCATTTATGCTCAAATTTCTATATTTTCATGTTTTGATCATTATGTTTAAAATATGGAATGATCTAATGAAACAATGATTGAGATGAAAAATATATTTTTACTGAATTAAAAAAAAGCTCATTAATGGGAATTGTTTAGAATGTTCTATAACAAAGCAAAGTGGAGTGTTAAAAGTGAGGTAGGGACAAAATATATAAGCCAAACTGGTTTGCTTATTTTTCATTAACAGATATGAACTACTCATAACTAAAAAAACAGTAGTACAAAATATTGTTTGAGAATCGTTCATTTTCTAGATCTTGGACAAAGGTTCATTGTTCTTACAACAAATTAATGCCCAACAAATAATCGTATGACAAACATTTCAGCAAATACTTTGGTGAAAGGCAATTATTTGGCTTTCAGTGAATGCCAAATGTGTGGAGCTGCCCTCAGATACAAATGCACAACTATATCTGTGAAAATATTCTTACAAAATATCTAAAAAAATAAAATCAAAAATCTACTTTTAGCTAGCTTTCTTTTTTTTTTTTTTCTCCTTTGTTATATTTTTAGATCACATATCATGTATTATTTCTCTTAACTCTACTGAACACTTTTTAAATATATGTATTTTTATCAGCATAAAATAAGTTAAAAATTAATATATTTTAATGAATTTACAGAATATTTTTACTGTATTTTTTTTTTTAGATAATTGGACTTAATTTAAATGTTTTAAGAATGCAATGAATATATAAATTATGATCACATTGTATATCTGACTGTATTTATAGCTCTAATTGCATGTACAAATAGAATAGATTTTCTACGTTGTGATATTCTGTTTTTCTCTTATTTTATAGGTTTTTATAAACTTTATATTGTATGCATATACACAGGGTGTTTATTTAAACATTGTCCAGGGCAAAAGAGATCTTTCCAGTGTTGCATGAATATATGTATGTGATGCATGCTTGTTTCAGTGGTAAAACATCCAGAATACTTAAATATACTGTCCAGAAGCAACAGATTAATTTATTTAAATAATGCCACTGGACAGAGCATGCTCCACAAATTGACAACCTAACAAAATAAAGCTCACTTATTTGTATCAATTTCTGCAATGCTGTTTTATGCTTATAGTCAAAGGTTATTTGCATGTTATGCTAAATCATCATAAGTTTATTCCCTTCAGTTATTTTAAAACTGGAACAAGCATGCACTGCCTGCATACATTTGTGCAATGCTGGAAAGATTTATTTTGCCCTTAAATATTTAAATGTATATATACTTATATGAGGGTTGTCTAACAAATATTGCAATTGATTTACAGATAAATACATATAAAGAAATTACAAGTATTGTTTTTTCAATCTAGGCATTTTTTGCATCTATCTACCAGTTTCAGTTTTCTAGCATAGAATTTTTTTGATTGACTTGGAACAATTGAAAAATTACGTCATACAGTTTACCATTTGTAAACTCTGTATAACACTTATCATTTTTTGATTATTTAAGAGACATTTTTATATTTGTTATGAAAACAATTTATCATTTATCTCTGTAAAAAATGTAAAAACAAAGAAATAAGAAAAAAGATACAGTGGGCGATCGGTTAACGAACATAATCTGTTCCAAGACTTTGTTCACTATCCAAATTGTTCGTTAACCGATTATTAATTTACCATAGGTTTATATGAAAATTTAATTAATTTGTTCTGGAGACCCCAAAAAATAAAAAAATAAATACTTTCTTACTATATTTATATGTAATAATAAATAAATAAATATATATATACACACAGAGACTTGCATTTTTATTAGTCATGTTTTTTTTTTTTGTTTGTGGGGTAAAGAATCTGTCTAATGTTGATTGCTTTTCTCTCTTTTTCAGAATTTTTTAGAAGTAATTAATAGCATTGTAACTGTAGAGATCCCCAAGCCTATTAACCTCAACCTGGTTTGTATGCCATTCTAAGACCGTTGATCTGACATCCCCCACTTCTTCAAAAGAACTTTAATTAATAGCAGATATCGGCTTTTTCATAATAAAACATATCTCGCCGAGTTGCTTGGCATTCTTCTGTCATCAGATCTGTTTCAGGTTCCATTATGAGCTCTTCAATGTTCTTTATTTCTCAGATGTGATATTTGTTACTCCTTTAGCTGCTTGAGTTTTCTTAATTATACTGTGTCTTTTTTAGATAAGATTGAACTGTGCCCTACTGTAGATTTGTTCAAGCTATACTGCCCAGCAACATTAGACATCTTCTGCCCACTCTCTACCTTTGCTATTATACTCTCATCTTTTGAAAATAAAAACCGACACAAAACTTAGTGAGTGCCCGCTTGACAGTTTTGCAAATACTATAAAAGAATTGTTTGTCAGAAAAATAAAAGGCTGGAATAACAAGGGAGTATTTCAAAGTTCTAGGAATACTATCTGATCAGTATATATCAGGTTGAGCATCGACATTGACGTCTCCCACGCTCCAAAAAGTTACCTGAAGACAAAGGAAAATCAATTGGTATTTGCTATTTCCGTCGCTTCTTTTTATGTTTGTTTAGTGAAGTGTTCATTATCTAATCATGTGTTTGTTGTCTGATCATAAAAATCTTTCGCGAAAGTGTTTGTTATCCGATTTGTTCGTTAACTGATCTGTTCTTTAACTGATCACCCACTGTATATAAATATAAAAGTAAAAAAACTACATTTTTAGTCCAATGCATGTAAAACTATACCAGAAATATCTAGCATTATACTTACTAAAAATAATGAATAACAAATGTTTTCGATGGTTTTTAAATTGTCACGTAATATGTAGTACAGTATATATATTATGTGACAATTTGTTTTTTGTATACAATTGTTATTTGTATGTATTTATTGTTGTTATATTTAGTAACAATAAATACATACAAAAAACAATATATTTATAGAGATAGAAATGTATATATATAAGTATATTTAATTCCAAACTATAGTCTGAATAATCAGATTATGACTTGAAAAATTCTATTTCAATGAGTTAATTTTTTCCAATGAAAGTTCATGGATCCCTGGTTAAGAACTGATAGTATAGAGGCGTGGTTCTCAATCCGTGGACTGCGGAACAGAGGTGCTCCGTGAAGCCACTTCAAGTGTTCTGTGAAAAAATCAAATATACAATTAAAAATTGTTGCAAAAGAAAAATCAATACAATGTAAAATAATTTTTGTATGGGAATGTAATCAAACGCCAATGTCGTCATCTACTAGACCGAGTGCGCTTGATTTCAAAAAGGTTTGCCACCCCTGCTTTAAAGTTGATGTGTTGTAAGTGTTTCACAGAAAAAAAATGTCAAATGTTTCCTGACTTTAAAAAGATTGAGAACCACTGGTAGAGGAAGGTCTTCTTAATGCTCACAAGGAGCAAGGAGAAAAGAGTTAAAAAATAAATAAAATGAAAGTAAATAATATATAACATGGTCATATATTTCTCACTAAAAACCTAAAGTCTGGTGTTGGAAAAAATTCACTTCACTAATGTAAAAACATTAGTGAAGTGAATTTTTTCCAACACCAGACTTTAGGTTTTGAGTGAGGACTGACAGATGATTAACAGTTCTATTAGATATATCTTCCATCTATCTGTTCTAAAGCATACATTCAATGAATAATACTCTTGATGACTTGGCTGCAGTTGTCTCGTAGCAAAATTCTGTCTTAATCAGATAAGTTAGGAACATTGCTATGATAATCAAAACTTTTCAAGTATCCCCATAACAAAAATCATAAGTTAGTGATGATTGTGGTGGCCATGCTGTTATAAATGATCAACTAATCATTCTTTTGTTCTTGAAATGTTGATGCAATAACCTTTGCACATTGATGCCAATATGAGGGAGTACTTTATCTTGCATAAAGATTGTGATATACAAACAATTTCATGCTGAAATTCAGGGAAAACAAAATTTTGAAGATGTGTCCACACCTAGTGGCATTGACAGAATGGCCCAGATGCAGTGTTTTCTTCAAAAAAATTAATTTCCTCATTAGGAAATTTTGGAAATAAACTTTTTATCTATAAAATCAAAATCCCATGATCAGAAAAGTATGCATATCAAATTTGGTTGCATTTGCATTAATAGTTCTTTCTACACAGAGCTCTAAACACCTCCTGTTTAAGTATAACCAATCTGTATTATAAATACAATTTTTCAGATAAATGAAAATTTATGATTATTTATACTTTAAATTAATTTTATTTTTAATTAAAACTGTATTTGCTTAAATTCAATTTATAAAAATAACAAATACAAATTTTAACATATTACTTAGGAAATACCACATAGTCTTGATATGAAATTAAATCCCAAATTTAGTTATTTATTTAAGAAATTCTATATTTAACCTAAAATATAATTTAAATTAAATAATTTTGTAACTTCTTTTTTGTATATTATTAAATTAACTATTTTTAATTATATTTCTGTATGAAAATTTAGATAAAGCATTTATATATAAAAATGCTATATATATTTGATTATATAATAAATTCAATTAAATTTACTATAATAATAATTATTATTATATATAGTAGTATAAAACTATCATTTGTTGATTTATAAAAGCATCGCCATTTTGTAAAGCTATTAGTTAATAATTAAATATGCAACATATAATTTTCAAATTGAGAATTTCAATGTTATATATACATATATGTATTAATAAAATTATTGATTTTAACAGGAAGGATGATTGTGGACTGCTGTTGCCAATGGTTACTAAAACTGTTTACATTACTTGCAAATGGATAATATAATATGAAGAGAATAATATAGTATATTATATGACTTGATTAGAACCTGTCAAAAATTCAGTTTCTTAAATAGTAAAAATTACTATGAAATACTAGTAATATATTTATTAATCTTGGGATAATTAAAGGTAAATAATTAAGAGTTTCAATTTTAAAGACAGTTATTTGCTATGATATAAATATATAATAATTGCATAATTAAAGCTTTATTGATTCATTTATATATATTATTCATAGTAGAATTAACTTAATAGTTATGAATTGAAATTTCTTGACTATATTTAAGGACTGTCTATATATTACAAAATAAAAGTTTTTTTTTTCAGATATTTTTCTTTTCCTAATAAAAAAGAAATAAAGATCAGAACTCCTCTCCATCATTAGGTAAAATATTAATGCTTTATGAAATAGGTTTTAATACATAAACTTTTGAACATGCATTCAAATATTTCTTAATACAATAATGTTTTGAAACAAAAGTTCTGTGAAATGTTTTATATTTTTAAATGTTTAAAAAACTATTCATAAAATATTCTAATAGATGAAATACTAACTAAAATTGTTTTAAAATATTTTTATAATGTATTACAAAATATATTTTTAATCCTAAATTGTGAATATAACATTTTTAAATGTAATTTATATAATTACTAATTATTGTGTTTGCTGCCAGTTGACATGATTTTTTCATGTGACCTTCACATCACAAAATGGTGACAACTGGCAGAAAACATGTTAAGGAAACCAAAAATCAACTTGAAACAGTTGAAAATGTTTCATAAATAAAGAAATTTTGATTACCTTAATTAGCAATTATATGAATTATGTTCATACAGTACAACCTCCATTATCCGGACCTCCATTATCCGGATTTTCGATTATCCGGATTGTTCAAAATAAACAAAAATTTTACGAATTTGCTGATTTGCACTTGGCGAATTACGACACTGTTTATGTACGTGATGGAATGCATAACTTTTTTTG